TAAAGCTTCAAGCCGGTGTCCTTTGCCTGCGACCTGGGTAAACCGTAAACAGCTCACGCCGCATGCCGCATGCCCCAAAGGTTTACATGCTGGAATTGAAATCAAGGTCGCTGCCATTCAAACAGCAACCGTTTTCGTCGCAGGACCTGTGCCCTGTACAGCTCACCGCTGTCAGCCTGGTGCGCCTGAGCGAGAATGTCTTTGCTTAGGGGCCCACCCTGTTTTGCAAAAGTCACATGTCTTAGGCTTAGGGGCCCACATCAAGGTCTCCTGCAGGTTGTGGGACAGGATCAACATCTTGGCCATCCTGATCCTCATGCCCATCCTCCTCCTCCTGACCTTTCCCCTTGCCCCGGCCATTGCGTCCACCTTTCCCACCTTTGCCTTTGCCTCTACCTCTGCCCTTTCCTTTGTTGTTCGATGGAATTGGCTTCAGGTATGCAAAAATGCCTTTGAGCAAATTGTGAAAGGAATATAAGCCAAAGCAAAACCTGGCCACAGCGCAGACGCCTGTCCAACGGCTTTGCGCTGGTGGACTCGGCCGCACATTCATGAAGATCGCTCGAACCAAGTTGGTCAAATGCTTCACAAAGGATCCTTTCACTTGCTCTCCAGGTTCTGCTCGAAAATAGACAATGATCTGGGACTCGTCAGCCCAGTTCCCAAAGCCCACTAGCCTAGGAACTGGCTGATTTGATCGCACCGACAATTTACCTCCTGCTCACCCACCTACCCCACCTGCCACCCAACTAGTTTTGACCGCTGCCGCTGCCATCCAATGTGCTAATATAAGGTGGGACCATCGCAAAGACAAAGACAACAACAGCAACAACAACAACAAGATTCCTACGCAGAGCACAGTGGCTGGAGCAGTTCCATACAAGCTTCATGGTGTCCGTACCCACGTTTGTAGTCCATTGGTGCGTGGGTTGCCCCAGAATCCGGGTCAGGTGCACCAAGTTCTTTGGCTCCCTTTTGGAGCAAACCAAGAAATTCCAAGCAAGCTTTGTTACGTTTAAAGTTGGCATGGTGCTCTGGACCTAGGGCTTCCGTGGAGAAGTGCAGCTTTTTAGAAATCACGGCGGGCACTGCGTCCAAGAGTACCCGCCAAGCAGTGTCACACTTCAGCTGGTTCGCGCATCTGGGCAGGGATGGGTGGTCACTCACTCAGCTGCCACAGCTGCTGCCAACTGTGGCTTGACATTTACGAAAACTACAGTTTTTTCTTTGTCTGTTTGCCTACTGCCTCCACCAAAATGGTAACCGTGACCCTTGCCTGACCAGATTGCAAAGAAAGGTCGACGATGTCGCAGAAGACGATTTGGCTGCGGGCGCTGGCGCCACTTCAGCCCCACGCCCACGCCCCCGTCCACGACCACGGCCCCTCCCACCTGCCGGTAATGGGGGGTCAGGGAGAGGGTCACCTGGAGCACGCCGCCACTGAAGCTTCATATCCTAGCGCGCTCCCCCCCCACCCCGCAATCCCATCAGTGTAAACAAAATATAGATGTGCTTCTGCTGCTGCTGGTGACTCTGACTCTGACCAACTGACCAACTGCGATTCAAAAGCGGAGATTGTGGCTGAGGAGCCAGAGTGTCTGATTGAGCAGTGCTGCACAGGTGCACGTTGTGGCAGTGGCACGACAGCTCTACTACCTAGGCGCAATCTTCATGCGACTGACGTGTCCCCTTCACGTCACTTCATCACGTCGGTCTGTCCGTCAGTCGTTTGTCACTCTGACTCTGACTTTGGACCCTTCTGTCCTTTGGTCCTTGGTTGGTTGTTTGAGGCCCTTGCCAATCCATTCTTTGCACGCTGTGTCACCTAACAGTGCAGGTTGATAGGGCGGTGGAGGTCCATGCATATGCAGTTGCAGCGCAATCATAACCCTACTCGTACCTGGTAGTGCTTTAGAAGGGTGTTGGCGGACGCTCCGTCAGAGATGTAAATTTCCACGTGGTACTTGGCTGAAGAGCACAAGGCTGACCTGGTTTGGCGTGGGCGGCCACCATCAACTGACGGTACCAACAAAAAACTAGACATATTATACTGTTTAAATCATATCGGTATCACAAAACCTTCGCAAGAAAACACCACCTTAAGGCCTTCCCCATGGCCCGTGACTCAATTGTAACTGAAACTGAAGTAGATGCCTTGGGGACGGTTTCCACTGGTCAATCGCCGCAAGTATTGCAGCCGCAGTGAGCCTTTGCAAGCGCATCGGCTGGATCGCAATCTTATCCTGCGGAAGCAGGCTTCTCACCTGCAAATTCACCACGCCACAAGCAGGCAGTCCTCTCGCCACAGGGTTGCGTCTTGAGCTGTCGGAGGCTTCAGGTCTATGATCTCAGGCGAGGTTCCATCACATTGTCTATGCCCTATGCCTGTGAAAACTGAGCGCCAGAATGAGGGCTTGGCCCGTATGTCGCCGCTCTGGACAATGGTTTCCCTGCACTGGGCGTCCAAGCACCCAAAAGAGTAATGAATGAGCAATGGCAATGGCAGTGGCCGAACAAAAAGTGCAAAATTACAAGGATCCCAGACCCCGGTTAGGTCCCCGGCACCACCAGCCCAGACAGACTCTTGGCCACGCGTCTGGCCATGGCCCGAGGCCTCAATGGCTACCCGTTTAGATTCCTAGTCTAGATTCCTAGTCTTAGTTTTGTCTACTTGTTTGGCTTCCAAGCTACAGAACAATGCATTCACTGTCGCCAGTTTGTAGCCCAAGGCGAGCTTTCAGGATGTCCAAGGTTTGGGAATCTGGGGCGAGACCGGATGGAAGAATAATGGATGCAACTTGCTCCTGGTCCACACCCAGCAAGCAAAGAAAACAAACTCGAAATGAGGCCATCGCCCCTAGGTTGGAGGCACTAGGGAGGCCATCGCCCTTAGGTTGGAGGCCATCGCTACTGGGGA